ACGTATTAAAGTCAAACTATTTGTTCATTTTTCTCATCTCTATTAGCATAAATCCATTTTTCTAAACCATTTTTCCAATAGATAGATATGGAATTGTAATAACTATTCTACGATCTGAATGCTGTCTGGTTAGAAAGCTAGCATTTTTGACTCGAATGTCATTTTTCCGCTTGAAATAAGCATTTATGTCACCGATCGAACTTTTGTCTAACCCTCGACCAACGCCCACTCACCTCTACCTTTAAGAAAAAACTATCTTATATATACCTTACATTATAATAAAATTATATAAAAATTTAGTTCTAAAATCCAATGTACTCCTATATTTTGATGAGAAGCCGCTACGAAGGTTACGTGTAATGGCGGGCACTTACCGACATTAATGAAAGGTATTACGAAAGATTGTAAATATTACATATCATTTTATTTTCGTTCGAGCGATAAGATAGTTAGTTAAATATTGACTCATGAACAATTAGAAGATATGTGCGAAGTGGCATTAATGGAATGGAGACTAGGGCTACGACTTTATCTTTACCTTGAAAAGTGAAGTAAAGTTACTCAACTTTATCACTTTATTCGCAAAAATTAAAGTTGAAAAAGTTTATTGTATCTATCTATGAAAAATATTCTTGTCGAATTTTACTTTACTTTTTCAAAGTAAAACAAAGATAAAGTGCCACCTCTACCCGGGCAGACAAGGAACGAAAAAAAATTTCGAAAGCAAAATTATGGAGACACCCTTTGTTGTTAGCAGCTCGACTTTTTCTACAGAAAAAGAATTTTTCTTCAAGCGTAGAAAGCGCACATTTTTACGCGTAGAAACGCCGTACGTTTCGTTTCTTGTCTGCTCGGGTAGTGGAGAAATAATATGTTTTTCTTTTGTTGTGGTTTTATGATGCAATGTTGAACATATGAATGTGGTTTTTTTCCACATAAGATCGCTTGAGTTTACTATATAAGCATTACATCTTATTCAGATTTTTCTTGAAATATTGATACCCAATAAAACATTTTCTCAACTTTTCAATTACGTGGCTCGATTATGAATAAACGACCTTACAGGAAAAGAAGACGTTCTCAAACTGATGAAAATGAGTCCATGTTACCATCTTCGCCTCCAACAGAAGGTTCTACTTTTTTTAATAACCAGACAATCCATGGTGCAACATATAATGGCCATAATATTAATGATCGTGAAACTGGAAGTTCTTTAGCAAATGGAGCATTGCATGAAGAAAATACTTCATCTTTCACTGCTGCATCAAATGCAGACAACACCGTGTTATCTGAGTCATCTTCAATTGAAGCACGGATTGTATCTGCAGATGTTGCAGTGAAAGAGATCCAAGCTGATAAAAAAGAAGCACGTCATGTCATTGCTACATATGGTATTAATCCTGATGCATTGCTACATATGGGTAAGTCTTGCTTAGCATAAAACATTCTTCAATATATATTCTGTGAAAATTCCCGCAGGAAGAAGTGAGCTGTGTTTGTCTTTGGACAGGAGAGCCTCTAAATTAGTATTAGTCTTCAAGAAACTGAATGGTTTTTCATGGGTCAGCATCAATCTTTACGTTTAAGTGGCTTTTCGAGTCCTCCAGATCGCTTAATTTTAGACTGGTAGTGTTAAATTCGAAAACAGAATTTGATTATTCAAGTGTTTACCACTATTCGTCCATCCCAAAAGTTTCGTCCTAACCCTCACTTTTCGAGATAATGATTTACAATCTTCTTAACACTTAAAATAACCCGCTTAGAGTTGACATGTTTGTGAGTCTATATGAGTAGCTTATATTTTTGGTATTTTGTTTCTTATATTTCAGTCGAACGTTGGACACAAACAATGCTCGAAGAATTCAAGTCAGCTAAATACCATTTCAAACATCCTCTACGACAAAAATGGGAGAAGCAGGAATTTAAAATGAATGCTGAAACTATCAATCGCAAGAGAATACTCTATCAACATTTTAAAGCTTTACAACAATATACACAAACTTATCTTTCCAAGAAATCTTTTGAAGATTTAAAAGAATTTGTCTCAAAAGTTGATCAGAACGCGAATGTTAACGAATTAAAAGAGAAAGTGAATAATTTAATCGACACATTTTTCAAAATTATTGAATCACTCGAATTCATTGAACAATACGACAACGTAGAAGATGGAAGCAGTTTTTTTGAAACAAAAAAAGTCTTACAGCGATTGCAAGTATTAAATAATAAGCAGTCTCATAGGATTTGTATCATTGGATTAGAAAAATGTGGCAAATCAACATATATTAATGCGCTTATTGGTTTCGAACTTTTGCCAACAGCTAGTGAACGTTGTACTCAAATTCGTACGGTACTTAAGCCATTGTTGCAAGAAAATAGGTCATTATTTGCAACTGTGGAATATTATAGTGATAGTGATTTTGAAGGTTTAATAGCAAAAATGGTGAAAAGAATCGATGAACAAGATCAACAGTACCAATCACGCAAAGCCAAGATAAGAAAAACACGTCAACAATTGATCTCAAAATTTCCAGAAAGAGAAGAAAACTTAAAATTGTCTGGTAATTATGGCAATGCAGATGATGAACGTAAATCGATTATCAAAAAATTGCATGAGTACATCATTGATGAACTATATGTCAATATTATCAAAGAAATTTCAATTTACACAGATAAATTACCAGGTATGTAGACATTAGCATGTTAGCATGAAATATATCGACACTTATGTGAGATTAACAGCAGAAATTCTAATAACTAACTACGATTAATCGAGGGTGACCCTAAGCTTTTGACTTTATGACAATTTTCCAGTGATTATTTTCTTATTACACTTTGAATGGAATACCAAGCAATATTTTTTGTAGCATCAAGCTTATCTCTACTTCATTTGATCTTAGTTTAACAGAAAATCTTTTTCTTGTATCGATAAATAGTTTAAGACAGTTCGGTAAATATGTTTACAACGAGAATTGCCGCGTTTTAGCGATTTTTTGGGTCATATTTTGTTCTACAATTGAATACGAAAATAGTATGTTATTACCTTTTCTTTCATATAGGAAAAAACTACGAACTATTGGACGTTCCGGGTTGTGATTCCCCTATCAAGGAACATCGCGACGCCGGATTAGAAGCTATAAAAATGGCAGATGCATTTCTCTTTCTTACCGATGGTGGTCGTCCAAGTCTGACTCAAAATCAAATAGATTTACTTAAAGAAATACAAGATGGAAATCAACATTATGAAGGAATGAAACGTGCATTCGGTATTGTTACAAAACTTGATTATTGTCATACTTCAGATCAGTTTAATGAACATTTCAGAAAAGCACGACAGGAATTAGTGAATAAAGGATTCAAAGAAGATCATATTTTCGCCGTTTGTTCCATCATTAACCTTCCAGAAGGAAATCCTGAAAAACATCAAACAATCATTAACAAAATCAAAAATTTCAATGATCTACAAAACGGTTTTCAACATAGTAAAGAAGCATTGAATCGATTTATTGAATTTGAATTACCAAAAACCCATTTAAATCAACTAATTGATTTGGGATGCAATAAACTTGGCCGATACGCGATAGAGGGTCAGTCGAATGCAAAAAACCTTTTTCCACCAGGCATCAATCCAGACGACGAAACATCGTGTCATGATTACTACAAACAGGAAACTGATGAAAAATGGGATGAAATTTATCATCGAGATTTTTTTCAACTAACATTTGATAAGGCAAATATTTGGCAGAAGAAAATGCTAGTGCTACAACGTATGCAATTTATTGAAGAAGTGAAACGAAGATTTCACGAATCTTTTGATAGTCTAACAAAAAGTTTTATTGAATGTCCTGTTGACATGCACAACGAGATGATGAAACAATATAGTTATACTGCCTTGCATTCTACTTCTCAACCTATTGACGATCGATTACGTGAAGATTTATCATTTAAATTAGAGACATTTGTTTCACAAACCGTGAATACCTTAGCACGATATTTATATGATGAATACGTTAACAAATTAGAGAGAATTCTTAATGAAATCAGTCCTGAAGAAAACGATGATCTTTATCGTACACAGAGATTATCCTATGATATATGCAAACACGAGATACGTGCTATCGTACTACACACTTGTCGTCCAATTATAACCGCAACATTACGGTTTTCACATTCGGATAAAGATTGTAGATGTTCCGCTGTTAATGAACTGATACGAATTGCACCAACTATTGCGTGTCATTTATGTGAAGTCAACAGCAGTACAAATGAAAGTGTAACAACAAATCTGAAGACTTGGGCACCAGTGCTTAAACAAGGTATTGAATATGCATTGGGATTCTGTAGTAAAACTGGTGTTCAAAATACGATTGCGTCAGAAATTTTCAAATTCGCACTCAAAAAATTCTTGTGATTTTTCTTTCGTATTGTCTCTTTCCTTTCTATTTACTCAAAATTCAGAAGATTATCAATAAACTTCAAGTAGTGTCCGTTTTTCGCTCATAATACACCATTTGAATCTTCAAAACATTGCTTACAAAGTAACAAAGAGGTTCCAGATTATAATTGAATTTGTTAGCGATAACAGATAGTTCATTGTTATCGCTAGCTTTCTTTTGTCTGAGCTTTTCGCTATACGACCTAAGTGAGATTCGACGATACATATATACAGAGAAACTTTTCTGATTTGAACACTCTGGAGACCGCCGAAATTCAGGATGTGGGTGTGGGTGGATGCATATACGACTGTGGATAAAATAACTGTA